AGGGAAGCACACGCCGGACAAGCTTTCATTCAGCTCACAGTTTCTGAGATTCAAAGTCCAAAGAGGCCACAGAAAGGAGTGAGCCGGTGACAAAGTCCAGGAGCACAGAGAGGAGCGCACCAGGCCACGCCTTTTTTAAAAAAAATCTTTATTCTTGTTTAATTTTTAAAATTTTGTATTAGTCCACGTTTGCAGTACAAAACGATCACATTCTTCCGGGGGAGCTGGCACAGGGTGGGCCAGGGCCTGGTGCGTTACTATCTCGGCCCTGGGTGTGCAGCGCAGGTGGAATCCTCGTGATCGGAGGGCAGTTTGGTTCCTGAGGGAGGAGGGGCAATCCCAGTCCCCTCGAGGCTCTGCTGAGATCAAGGTGACCGCGGGTTTATGACAGTGGAGATTTTGGTCATAGTGTTCTCAGCCTCAAAGGCAGATGACAGAGGCCTGGTAGACTCAGGGCTGACAGGGACACCCTAAATGTGACTACTGCCTGCTGGCAGCGCTAGGAAGGATTTGCCCAGAGTTTTATGGGATGAAGGTCAAGCTTTGTTCTACATTTAGTTACCCATTGTGCATTTGCAGACCCAAGTGAAGAGGCATAGTTTTTAGCCAAAAACACCTGTAAGTTGCTGACTGCCCCAGGAGAAAACACAAGCCGTGACTGTGACGCGGGACAGGCGAAGGGCCCAAGCGCGGCCTGTCCCATCCCTACGGGGGTCTCTATGTCACGACCGAGTTCCTCACCGGCTTCTTCCACTGTTTTCCTGGATGGCAGGGAAGTGCTCTGAATTCTCCTTTGCCTTTAGGGATATCCGCATGAACATTTCTGAGGAACTGTGAAACTCTGGCAAATTCTTTTATAAAAACAGTCTGTCTTTGTAACTGAAAGAAGTATTTCTTTATTCCCGGGTTTCATGGAAGGAGAACTTGTTCAGCCCTTGGCTGGACACTGATCTGTCCCTGGGCTTGCCAAAAGGGCTTGGTTTGAGCCACTGGACTTGACTTCGTATTCCAATTCTGAGACCACTGGAGTTGTAAACCTTCTGCGGCTGTGTCTGCTTCTTGTAAATGGCTCCACATACTTAGGAAGAAAGAGGTCAGCGCTGGTACTGTTGGCGCTGGGGGTCCCCTCACAGCCCAGCGCGGTGGTCCGGCTTCTGCAGGAGCAGCACCAAGCTTTCACATTTTCTGTTCTGCATTTAGTGGGGAGTAAATAGGCAGCAATAAATCAGCTTCATTATGCATGTTTTCTGCCTTGGGTGGCACCTGGAATTTGCTGAATCTGCTGAATGCAATTAAGTTTTAAAAGGCTCCGGAGCCTCACCTTTCTAGGCCATGCAAGCCAAATGGAAAACCAAATAAGCAGCATAAGCGAGCCGCATGGGTCCTTTCTCCAGGTCTGTCCTGGCGGGAGACCCTGCTGTGAAATTCCAATACCTCTGCCCCCTTCTTCCAGCTGTGAACTCTTCATGACCAAATTAACCAGCTTCTCCCCTCTCAGGTAATCAACAACTGATTCTGCATATTAACCAGTGGTGGCGAACCTGTGGCACACATGCTGCAGCTGGCTATTGGTTACCAGTGACAGGTCTAAAAGGTTCACCATCACTGACCTTGGACGTTGTAGTACAAAACAATTTAGGTAGAAAAAAAATGAACAAACAAAACTCACCCACATCTCTTAATTTTTCAGGTATTTCATCAACTACTAGTATCTTTTTTTTTTTTTTTTTTTTTGTCTTTTTGAGACAGGGTCTCACTATGCAGTTCAGGCTGGCTGTGAGCTCACTTTGTAGCCCAGGCTGGCCTCGAACTCGCAACGATCCTCCTGCCTCAGCCTCCCAAGTGCTGGGATGACAGGCGTGCGCCCCCATGCCTGACTTCAGTCTTAATCGAATTTGAGAAATGACTTTAAAGCAATGCAGCTGATTTGCACGTGCACCGCATACGCTCACACTGATGCCAGCTGCGGGGAATTGGCCCAGGCCACTCCCCACTAACTTGTACATGGAGTTGAAAGCAGAAGAAGTAATGCAAATTCCAAGCACAGGGTACTTTTTCCCAGTGACTTGTCCCACACTGGGACCCTGCCTTAAAGCCTACAAATTCCTATTAAAACTTTCCAGGCAAGACTCGTAATTATTAAAGAAAAAATCAGTACCCTGTCTTTCCAGGGATGCCGTGTTTCGGTGTTAATCTCAATTTAGAGAAAACAGCATGGTGTGTGTGATGAACAGAGCGTCTCCGCGGAGCTCAGAGAGGTCACAGCGGAATCCCGGAGCCACACTTCCCAGCTGGTGCTGTGGGATATCTGCCGCAGATCTCGCCCCTGCCTCGTTTTCCTCCCCTGCACTGTGGGAAACGAAGGCAAGGGTTAAATGAGATGGCAAACAGGTGGCCCAAGCCAAACGCTGGGCACACAGCAAACACGCATTTTACTCTCCTTTGCAAGTCGGGGTTTCACTTATGAACAGAGGAACTCCGGCAAGAGCCGCCTCTGACCGAGGGCACTGTTTTCTGCGAAGAGAGTTCTTGGTGCCCTTGCTGTGACTGGTGATCGCACACAGCTGGAAATGATGACAGCCAGTTCGCTCTGAGCTCAACTTGGCCCCAGTGAGGCTCTACATAAGGCAGCATCTACCCTCCGGTTTTCCCAACACGTCATAGCTGGGCTTGAATCTGGGCAGAAGGGTGGGTGTCAAAGGAAAGGCACAAAGCCTGGGAGGAACTGAGGTTCAACAGCAATTACCAGGCTGGCATGGCCCCACGGGGTCTTGTCCCCGAGCTTTTGTGGCTATCCTCTCACTGGAAGTGCTTTAGGGAGCTTTACCATGATGATTCCTTTGCAGATGTGTCAAATGATTCTAAGAGGTTAAGTGACTTTTCCGAGGTCACAGAGATAATAAAGCATGGGAATATTCTGAGATTTTTGACCTGGACGAGGCAGGGCAGGCCGGGCATGAGGGTGCACACCTGCAATCCCAGTACTCAGGAGGCTGAGGCGGGAGGGTCACCGTGGGTTCGAAGGCAGCCCAGGCCACATAGTGAGTTCAAGGCCAGCTAGGGAGGCCTTGTCTCAAAAACCAAAAGAGGCGGGCAAAAGGATGTGCAGTGTCGGAAGATCAGTTCCCTGTCTCGTGTGCCTGCCACATCTACTTTGAGGTATCCCAGGGAAGCTTTCTCGGCCCGTACTTAGCACTGTGTGCAGGTAGTGAGCAAACCCTGTCTGCTGTCCGAAGGGAGTAGGGCAGGCAGTGAGAGACTGCTAATGAAACTGGCCTCGCCGGCTGGTGCTATGGCCCAGTGATAGCTTTCCTAGCTTTCAAGAGTTCAGTCCCCACAACCACAGAAACAAAACAAAAATGCCTGATAATCAATATCTGGTCACGGAGTTTGAAGGTTTGTAAAAACACTCCTAGCATTATTTAACCCTTAGGGGTTTTGTTTGATTGCTTGCTTTACTTTGATGATTTAGAAGGCATTTTAGGACAAACATTAACCGTCATGCACTAATTCAGCAAATATTTATTGTGTTGGTGGCTTGTATTCATTTTGCTCACTGTGGAAATGATCAACTGGAGCAATTTGCTGTATGCTTATTACTTTCCATCTTTAGCATTCTGTACTAATGCTATGTAGTGCTCATATATATGCATATACACACATATATATACACAAATATTTATTAATCTACCTACAATTTTTTTTTTTTTTTTTTTTGTCTTTTTGAGACAGGGTCTCGCTATGCAGTTCAGGTCGGCCTTGAGCTCACTTTGTAGCCCAGGCTGGTCTTGAACTCACAACGATCCTCTTGCTTCAGCCTCCTGAGTGCTGGGATTACAGGCGTGCGCCACCACGCCCGGCATTCTACCTACAATTTCTTTACTGGGGACACAAAAACCCTTGAACAAAAACTTCGAAGTGCCCTCTGTTGGTGACAGATCAAGTAGTTGATAATTTTTTTGTTTTTTGGGGTTTTTTTCTGGTGAAGAATGCTAAAAATAAAAGTCAGCTGCTTTTTTAAAAAACTGTTTAAAGAAGTACAGAGCCATTCTTGAGCTTAGATGGTAACATTTTCTTTGTTTTTCACTTTAAAAGCTTCCATTTTGCTCTTGCTCCTTTGGTTTAAGGAAGGACCCTTTTATTTCCAGGGGGTGATTTCGGGTCCCAAGACACCACGGGTCCTCTCCTCTCAGCCCTCTGACTTCCCCTCCTGCCTAGACAAGGGCCATAGTCAGAGGACGGCTACCAGAGTGTGGTTTCAGTACAGCACTGATTGGGTGAAAAACAGAGTGAAATGCTGCTAGACTTAAAAACAAAATACCGAGAGCCCCAGAGTACCAGAACTCCGAGTCAGAACCATAGTGAATGAAATTACCACCATTACCCAAGCGCAGTGATGCCAAGTGTGTCAAACTGAAGCACTAAAAGTGAATCATACATTTGGATATTGCATTTCATATTTGAGAATGTGCCAGAGAAGTTTTATTACGGTTGAGCATACTGTCAGGAGACAAACTTCTACAAATTTTATATATAACTTTTTCCATTTTATCTGTTTTCCATTTATGTCAACTGGAACACACGGTGTGACTTTAATATTCTCTCTTCCCTCTCCTTTTCCACGTTAAATGCCAAGTGATCGAACTCACACCCTCCCTCCCCCCGTTCTGGGGATTGAACCCAGCACCTTCACACTGAGCTACACCGCCAACTCCTCATTTTTTATTTTGAGGCAGGCTAACTTCAGACCAAGAATATCTTAGTTTTATTCGTACGGGAAAGGAGTGAAGAATTCCCAAATCTACACAAGGGTGCTACAGACGCCAATCAAAGGTGGAGAAAGAAAACCCAGTGCCGAAGAATTACAGACGACAACTGTGGTTACGGCACTTCTTGCCAGCGGTCCTCTTAGCCCAGGCGACAGCGGACGACAATGATAGACAGCTTCGCGGGGGGGTGGGGCGGGGGCGGGGCCCGGGCCCAGGACCCGGATGCCGGAGCCAGGGCCGCGCACTCAGGCGCACGCGCAGTGGCCGCGGTGACGCCGCTACGGCCCCAACTGCTACCAGGATGGCTTCCAGCTTCAAGAAGCCGAACGTGGGCTCCGCCAGCCAGAAGAAAAAAGTGGGCCCTAAGCCTGAACTCACTGAAGAGCAGAAGCAGGAAGTGCGGGAAGCATTTGACCTCTTCGATGCGGACGGCAGCGGGACCATCGACGTGAAGGAGCTGAAAGTGGCCATGCGGGCGCTGGGCTTCGAGCCCCGGAAGGAGGAGATAAAGAAGATGGTCGCCGAGGTGGACAAGGAGGGCACGGGCAAGATCAGCTTCAACGACTTCCTGGCCGTGATGACCCAGAAGATGGCCGAGAAGGACACCAAGGAGGAGATCCTGAAGGCCTTCCGACTCTTTGATGATGACGAGACCGGGAAGATCTCTTTCAAAAACCTCAAGCGCGTGGCCGGCGAGCTGGGCGAGAACCTCACGGACGAGGAGCTGCAGGAGATGATCGACGAGGCGGACCGCGACGGCGACGGCGAGGTGAGCGAGGAGGAGTTCCTCCGCGTCATGAAGAAGACCAACCTCTACTGAGCCCGGCCCGGCGCTTCCGCCGTGTATCCGCCCCCCCCCCATTTATCTTAATTGATTTCCAAACCGCTAGATCAATTATAGAGCCTTAAAGACGTTTGTAACCTGAGTTCTGTTAACAGTGCGTATTTTACTCTTTTATTTAAAGGCAGCTATCTACCTGCTGATTCTCAGAGCCTCTGGGTCCTTGGTACTTGATTTTCCCCCTTTGAAAATGCAATTGATGTAAGAGTGTCTGGGATATAAGCAGTTTCTATTTTTTTGTGTGTTCTGGGGATGGAACCCAAGACTTTTCCTATGCTTGAAAACATTCTACCCCTGATCTACTTCTGTAACTTTTTTCTTTTCTTTTCTTTTTCTTTCCTTCTTTTTTTTTGAGAAAGCATCTTGCTATGTAGCCCAGGCTGGCCTCAAACCCATGGTGATCCTCGTGCCTCAGCTTCCTGAATGCTGGAATTAAGGGTGTGCATCACCGTGTGTGCCTTGCAGTTTTACATTTTATAAATATGAGTAAAGGACCTCACGCTGGTTAGTGTATGTGTTAATGCTACTTGATTTCTATAATAAAGTAAGCCTTTCTTGTTTTTAAATGAAAGAAAATATCTACCCTTGAATATGTACAAATCTGAGGTTAGAAAAAATGTAAATAATATGTCTGTTGAGGTGGAGGTTTTAGCCAGACGGGGTGGCACACTCCTGTAATCCCAGCACTTGGGAGGCTGAGGCAGGAGGATCGTTGCAAGTTTGAGGCCAGCCTGGACTGCATAATGAGACCCTGTCTCAAAAAGAAAAAAAAAAAAAAAAAAAAAGAGAGATGGAGGTCTTGACTAATGGCAACAAAACTGTGAGCAAGGCAACACATTTTATTAACAACTAAACCTAAATTAAATCTTCATTAAAAGTCCCATTAAAAGGGGCTGGGGATTTAGCTCAGCGGCAAAGCACCTGCCTGGCAAGCGCAAGGTCGTGAGTTCGGTTCCCTGTACCTGTGAAAAACCAAAAACCAAAAAAAAAAAAAAAAAAAAGTCCCATTAAAATATGTAAATGCTCAAGTGAGGCATGGTGGTGCCCACCTATAATCCCAGCACTCAGGAGGCTGAGGCAGGAGGATAGCCTCAAGTTTGAGGCCAGCCCGGGCTACACTCAGTTCAAGGCCAGCCTGCACTACAACACAAGACCATGCCTCAAAAATTAATTAATTAATTAAAAATAGGTAAATAAACAAATGCCCAGATTGTGGCAAAGTTTTCACTTTGCCAGCTATTTTACCAATTGGGATTGGTAGTGAGGGGAATCAGTGCTCTGGCTTAATTCCTCATTTACAAGGACTCATTTGTCAAATCAGCAGCGTTGGCGGAAGTGTCGGGTGTGCAGGTATTTAATGTGAGAAAGGATTTGCTGAGCTAGCTGGCAGAGCACAGGGAACTCACCCAGACTGAACGTTCAGTTCGGGCTCAAGGTCTTCCTGTGGACACAGGTGCAGCTGCGAGGGAACAGATGTGACCTGGGCCAGCATCTGGGGCAGGGCCTGGTGGGAGGACAAGGGCTGCAGGTGGCATCCTGTCGACCAGCGTCCTGGCACAAGGATCAACACTTGGATCAAGGCAGAAATAGCAGCAGCAAAGCCAGTTGGCAGAAGCTGGGAGAAGTGCTGGGGGCCTCAGCCAACTGGACCGGGCTGAAGACTGGCTCCTGGCCCGGCAGAGGACAGACGCGGAAACCAGCACCCAGGCGGAAGCCCGGCAGTCAGGCTGGCCGCTCTGTGGGGCAGAGTACTCAAGGGGTGCTCTGAGGGCACAACCAACCCACACGAGGGAAGAGGGTGCCAGCTCGCTGCAGACCCACTCACAGCTGGCCGAGGGTCTGTGCTCTCTCACTGGTGTGCCCTTCTAATTCGGCTCCTACTCTGAGAGTAAAGTGGGTAGGCCAGCCAACTAGAACAGGCCTAAGCTGATACTCGAATTTCAAGAAAAGTTAATCATATGTTTGGGTCAGGCATGTATCTGATCTTCTGTGCAAAGCAGAGCACAAAAAACTCACAGAGAATTTGTGGAGACCCTCATGAAAATGAAGAACTAGCTATACAAGTTGGGAAGGGCTAAAAATATATTTTCCCTGGCTTACCACAAACAATTGTAGTAAAGAGCAAGAAGCAATCAGAGAAACCCATGTGGGGGCTGGGGATTTAGCTCAGCACAAAGTGTCTGCCTGGCAAGTACAAGGTCGTGAGTTCGGTTCCTGGTACGGGAAGAAAAACAAAAAACAACAACAACAAAAAGAGAAACCCATGTGACCCTGTAGTGGCCTCTTGGTGAGCTCTTGCTTTTTAATGGTGTGTGCAACCACTGAGCCGTGATAAAGCTACATCAGCATCGCGGTTGTAGTACTACATTATCAAGAAACCTAATGCCCAGATGAGCAGAGGAGACACTGACGGGGCATCTCCGTTATGTTCACAACAGGAGGATACAGAAAAAGATCTTTTTCTTCCTGAGTCTTTCAAAAAAACTACACAAGGTCTCTGGTCACTTTTGGTGGCACACGTCTGTAATCCCAGCACTTGGGAGGCTGAGGCAGGAGGATCATCATGAGTTTGAGGTCAGCCTGAGCTTCATAGGGGGTTCAAAGCCAGCCTGAACTACATAGTGAAACCCTGTCTCAAGAAAAATAAATAAATAAAACAGAGTTTGTATAGTCCACGCTGACCTCCAAGTGTCAATTCCCTTGCCCCACCTTCCAAGCGCTGGGGTTACTGCCGTGTGCTTCCACATCGGCAAGGGACAGGTAGAACTCTTGAGATCGTGGCAGATTGGTTTCCGTGGGAAGCAGATTCGGTCTGAGATGTGTATGTGGAAATTCACTTGAATGTGCCTTCAAGGCCACACAGGGGAAGCTGAGAGAGGGGTTGGGCTGACACCAAGTTACACCAGGGAAGTTGGGCCTTTACAAAACTTCCCACTGACTTACAGCGACTGAGGCATGAGTTCTCTCCAGAAGGAGGTATGACCTTGGACAAGTGGCCCTCTTCAGCCAGAGGCCATCACAGTTAGGGAGAACCCAGCTGCAGGCTCAGCTGCCAACTCCTGCAGAGTGGCAGAATGAGTGCTTCAGTTCTAAGGTGCAGGGCGGGGCTGTGGAGCGGGGATCTGGGCAGGTTCCTTTCATAGCTTCCACCACAGTCCACCCCTTGCGCTACTTAGAGCCAATGGCTTTGTGTAAGTTCGTGGAGAAGCTATTTCAAGGTTCTGACGAACCTCTCTTCTCGAGAGAAACTTACAAAGTTAAAGCGACAGACTGCAGCTCCTGCCGCAGCAGCTGCTCTCAAGGACACAGTTGGTGCTTGCTGTGGTTCATGTACACATGTCCCCAGGGGCCTCCTGCACTCATGGGCAGAGTGCTTGGAACGTGATTGGATTATGAGACATAGCCGACTCGCTGTTAGAAGGTGGGCTGTGGTCAGAAGAGGTGGGTCACTGGGGGGCAGGGGGTCCTCCCCTCACTCTGTGCTTCCTGGCTGCCAGGAGAGAAGAAGCTTCTCCTCCACTAAGTTCCTCCGCCATGCCATACTGCCTTGGAGCCAGTGGGCTACGGAGAGAAGACGTGAGCCAAAGTTGTGGGTGCTGGGTATTGTGTCGCAGTGGTGAGAGAGTGAGTGAGACAGTGCCTCAGCCATCCAGATTCCCCTCATCCTCAGCACACCTCTGCTCATGCAGGTGGGCTCCCTGGTGGCATGACCCGGGTCCTCACCCTAGGAGGTCTCAGCCTCCAGTTATCTTGCCATTTTCACGCTTCGGTGCTGCATGTACCCCTTTTACCATCAAAATGGAGTGACTAAGGGATACTCAAGTGTACCTGGGTGCCAGATATTCTCTTCTCATACTCTCCTGGCCGCTCCATCAGGAGGTGGTCCTTTCCTTTCCTTGGACGGTGATTCCCTTCCTTGACTGCTGGCAGCCCAGCACTAGGACCCTAGTGAGGTTGGGGCCATAGAGTTTGGAATTTAACCGGACTCTTGCTGTGCCCACTGTGAAAGCATTTGTCCCCGGGGCCAAGACCCCTAATGCACAGAGCCCAAAGCTGGGGGGGTGGGAGGCACATGCTGAAGAACAGACCACTGGGAGCTATGGAAAGAATTACTTGTACCCTAACCCTAAGAGATGCTGCATCATATAACGGGCCTTGGTGAGGAGACCTGAGAGCACCGGCCTCACATCCTCACTGGTCAAACCTAGATCCTCAGAGGCTTCTTCGTCAGGCTTTTCCACTGCTCCGTCAGGCTGAACAGGGCTGGTGGATTTCATGCTCAGCATGCCCACTGATCTACCTCCTCTCCTTTAAAGTAAATCCTTTGGTCCACTGTGATATCACATGGGATCCTGTGACACTTGAGTAGCTTTTGAGATATGGTATAGCTGAAACTCTGCAAGCAGAAAAGGCAAACCCATGACTAAAATAGGTGTCAGGATGCGCTACTGCTCTTTCCTGGATACAGGGGCTCCAATGAAGACTACTTGATGACGGCGTGGCGGCCTATATCTATAATCTAATCGGGAGGCTGAAGCAGGAGGATCACAAGCTCTAGGCTACTCAGGGAAACTTAGAGAGAGACTTTGAAAGAATGAAGAGAATTCTTGACACCAAGAGGCATTGGTCTCCGTGAGGGACAGAGTGGTTCTTCTTTTAGCAGCAGCAGTAATTCTAGCTTCCTTGGTGAATAAGAGGACCTGGTGTTAGGCTCCTGCATGGCCTCCGTCTCCATCACACCGACAGCTCCATTTGTTTGCCTGTTATGCCAACATTAGCACAGCTGCAGTGACTGGATACATTGTTGCAATTATTATTTTCAACAATCTATTGGATCAATTATTATAAGAAAAATAATGCCCGGCCTGGTGGCACGTGCCTGTAGTCCCATGACTCAGAAAGCTGAGGTAGGAGGATTGCTGTGAGTTTGAGGCCAGCCTGGGCTACACAGTGAGCTCAAAGTCAGCCTAGAATACAAAGTAAGACCCTGTCTCAACAAAACAAAACAAATACAACATTTTATTTTACCTTTATTTATTTCTTCTCTAATCTCTACCCTTTCAGTACTAGGGACTGAACACAAGGACCTTGCACAGAGCTAAATCTTCAGCCCTTTCATTTTTTTTTTTTTTTTTTCTTCCAGCACCAG